TTTATACGATTTATACTTTTCGAGTAATTTATGAAAATGTGAAGACACTTTTTCGAATCTTAATATTTTGTTCTTTCATTTTTGATTATAATTTAAGCCATACGAGCGGATTTAGTAATTTAACATCATATACATTTTATTCAGCAAATATTCAGCTTCCATTTCCATGTTCAAACGCCTTTGTACGATTTATGCTTTTCGAGTAATTTATGAAAATGTGAAGACACTTTTTCTAATCTTCATTTTTTGTTCTTTTATTTTTGACTATAATTTAAGCCAAACGCGCAGAACTAGTAATTTAACATTATACACATTTCATTCCACAAATATTCAGCTTTCATTTCAATGTTCAAACACTTTTATACGATTTACACTTTTCGAGTAATTTATGAAAATGGGAAGACACTTTTTCCAATTTTAATTTTTTTGTTCTTTCATTTTTGACTATAATTTAAGCCATACGCGTGGCGTTAATAATTTAGCATCATACGCATTTTATTTCACAAATATTCAGATTTCATTTCCATGTTCAAACACCTTTACACGATTTATACTTTTCAAGTAATTTATGAAAATGTGAAGACAGTTTTTCGAATCTTAATTTTTTGTTTTTTCATTTTTGACTATAATTTAAGCCATACGAGCGGATTTAATAATTTAACATCATACACATTTTATTCAGAAAATATTCAGCTTCCATTTCCATGTTCAAACATCTTTATACGATTTATACTTTTCGAGTAATTTATGAAAATGGGAAGACACTTTTCAATCTTAATTTTTTTGTTCTTTCATTTTTGACTATAATTTAAGCCGTATGCGCAGAGTTAGTAATTTAGCCTCATACACATTTTATTCCACAAATATTCAGCTTTTATTTCCATGTTCAAACACCTTAACACAATTTATACTTTTCGAGTAATTTATGAAAATGTGAAGACGATTTTTCGAATCTTAATTTTTTGTTCTTTATTTTTTGACTATAATTTAGGCCGTATACGTGGCGTTAGTAATTTAGCATCATACACTTTAATTCCACAAATATTCTGCTTTCATTTCCATGTTTAACCACTTTAATACGATTTATACTTTTCGAGTAATTTATGAAAATGTGAAGACACTTTTTCGAATCTTAACTTTTTGTTCTTTATTTTTTGACTATAATTTAGGCCGTATACGTGGCGTTAGTAATTTAGCATCATACACATTTTATTCCACAAATATTCAGCAATCACTTTTCTATGTCTTATAGTTTTTGAGTAATTTACAAAAATGTTTAATTTTTCTTTCTTTAATTTTTGACAAAGAATTGCACCCAAACGTTTATATTCACAAACATTACACAATACACATTTCTTTCTTTAATATCTATGTTCAATAGCAATTCTAGTCTTTATGGTATTCGAATAATTTATTAAAATTGTTAGTTAGAATTGTGCTTTTAAGCACATATAATATTGATGATTCGTGTGTATTCTAATAATAGAATTATCAGGGAGTCACAACATTAATTAAAAAGCGGTCAAAATCTATATGGACTGATGTGTGGGTGAATAATTGAGATTTCAGGACAGGCGCGAATTAATTCATCGGAACGAAAGATAGGTGGAGTGCATTAGCCGGATTTGGGGATGCACGGACTGCTGGATATTGCATTATTAAATTGGGCCGTTTCGGTGCGATGCGGTGTGGGGAATGAGTGAGGTTCGCACGAGCTTAGCGATGGGAATTATTCACGAAACCAATCTGAACTGAACACTATCGATTCTTCCGTCTGGGCGCAAGAGAAGGAAATAAAACCAACAAAAAAAAATAATAGAAGTTGGCTGTGATTTAAATGATTGAAACGTGGACGATGAAAGAAATAGAAACGACGTTAAGTGGGACAAAAAAGAAAACGCGTCCGGTATCAAAAGCCGAAAAGCTTTTGTCCTTTGTACATCGTGACCTACTTGATTATGCTTTTGTGACCTATACATAATTCGTATTCTATAACGACTGTACAAAGGCTGTGAGAAGACTTTTGATGTAGACAAATGTAACAAAGCTAATTAATTAATGAAGAACAAAATTTATTTGACTTGAATTTAGTAATTGGTAATTAAAAGATATAAAGAAAGGAATTTGTTAAACATCAATTACAACCTTGAACAAGTAAATTTGTAAGTGGATTACATTATTTTATGGATTTACAAGTGGCTAAAAATAAAATCTAGTTGTGATGGGGAGAAAGCTTTTTTTTTCTGCGTTCAGATTAGGTTGTCAAAAGTGGAATCGCCGTTAAGTGAGGGTTGCCTTTGAGCTTTCGGGATTAGACGGCTCGTTTGCTTTCGCGGCGGAAATACTTCTTTTTTTCTCTTTCTCTTTGCTACATTACCTTCATCCGTCCATAGACGAAATGATACAAAATATGCTAGAGAGGGAGAGAGAAAGGGTACGAGTGTCTTCGGCTACAATAATAAAATGTTATGGTCCGTGTGGGTTCAGTGATTGGATGGAAATTGACCCACAAAGTTAATCAATTTTTGCTTCCATTTCATAACTGATTCAAATTCTTAACGAATACAAAGATTCAATTTATTACTACACTGAAATAGGATAATCTATGTAATAGAACTGTCACATAAAACTGACGTAACCTTAAAAGAATAGACATGGCACTAAAATGAAATGGTAACGATTCTTTTATGACATTTCGTACTTTTATTATAGATTTTTTTTTTTATAATTTTAAAACAATTCGCTTCTCAATTTAATTCATTAATATTTAGTTCTCGTATATTAATTAGGTTAGATTTGCATAGTTTACAATATGTCAAATAAAAATTGACATAATCTGAATAGAAAATAAATGGCGATGAAATGAAATTTTATATATTATATTGATCTGGTTAGATTTGCATAGTTTTCAGTATGTCAAATGTCAAATAAAAACTGACGTAACCTCAATATACAGTAAAATTAAATAGTAACTGATATTTTATGAAAAATTGTACATTTATTAGAAAAGTACATTTGGGGGGTTCACTTTAAATAAATGTCAAATAAAAATTGACATAACCTCAATAGAAAATAATTTGTGATAAAATGAAATGGTAACGTTTCCTTTATGAAACTTTGAACATTATTTTTTTTAATAATTTTCCAATAATTCTCTTCTCAATTCCATTCATTTTTATATAATATATTGATCAGGTCAGGTCTGCATAGTTTACAGTATGTCAAATGTCAAATAAAAACTGACGTAACCTCAATATACAGTAAAATTAAATGGTAACTGATATTTCATGACAAATTGTATATTTATTAGGAAAGTACATTTGGGGGGTTCACTTTATATAAATGTCAAATAAAAACTGACATAACCTCAATAGACAATGAAATGGTAACGTTTATTTTATGACACTTTGAACATTATTATTTTTTAATAATTTTCAAATAATTCTATTCTCAGTTCCATTCATTTTTATATAGTATATTGATCAGGTTAGATTTGCATAGTTTTCAATATGTCAAATGTCAAATAAAAATTGACGTAACCTCAATATACTGCAAACTGAAATGGCAACGTATCTTTTATGACAAATTGTACATTTATTCGGAAAATAAATTTGGAGAGTTCACTTTATATAAGTGTCAAATAAAAACTGACATAACCTCAATAAAAAATAATTTGTGATAAAATGAAATGGTAACGTTTCCTTTATGAAACTTTGAACATTATTTTTTTTAATAATTTTCAAATAATTCTCTTCTGTATTTAATTCAATTTTATGATTTTGATCTGGTTAGATTTGCATAGTTTTCAATATGTCAAATGTCAAATAAAAACTGACGTAACCTCAATATACAGTGTAAAATTAAATGGTAACTGATATTTCATGACAAATTGTATATTTATTAGGAAAGTACATTTGGGGGGTTCACTTTATATAAATGCCTTTATGAAACTTTGAACATTATTTTTTTTAATAATTTTCAAATAATTCTCTTCTGTATTTAATTCAATTTTATGATTTTGATCAGGTTAGATCTTCATAGTTTACAGTATGTCAAATGTCAAATAAAAATGACGTAACCTCAATATACAGTAAAATGAAATAATAACTGATATTTCATGACAAATTGTACATTTATTAGAAAACTACATTTGGAGGGTTCACTTTATATAAATGTCAAATAAAAACTGACATAACCTGAATAGATAATAATTTGTGATAAAATGAAATGGTAACGTTTCCTTTATGAAACTTTGAACATTATTTTTTTTAATAATTTTCCAATAATTCTCTTCTCAATTCCATTCATTTTTATATAATATATTTATTAGGTTAGATCTGCATAGTTTACAGTATGTCAAATGTCAAATAAACACTGACGTAACCTCAATATAAAGTAAAATGAAATGGTAACGTACCTTTTATGACAAATTGTACATTTATTAGAAAAGTACATTTGGAGGGTTCACTTTATATAAATGTCAAATAAAAACTGACATAACCTCAATAGAAAATGAAATGGTAACGTTTCTTTTATGACATTTGATACTTCTATTTTACAATATTTAAATAATTCTCCACCAAATTAACTGCATATAACTTCATTATTGTTCAGTATAATTAGGTTAAATTTGTATAGTTTACGTTAATATAAATGTCAAATGCCAAAGTGACGTTAGTTTAATAGAAAAGAAATGGCGGTAAATTTAAATGGTAACGCTTTTTTATGACAAATTTAAATCTTATAAAAACTTTTATAATTTATTTATTTTTATGGTTGATTTGAATGAATAATTAAAGAATTTGTTTTATTTATAAACATTTGTATTGCCCTTTTTTTTTTGTAAAACTATTTCATTTAATTATAAGTTGTATTAAACTAAGAAATAGATTGTATGTAGTGAATCGGAAAGAAAAAAGGGGATAAATAAATAAGGGAAAGGATCGGACGGTTCTGAGCTTAACTGGAATAAATATTCATTGAATCGTGTTTGCAGGATCCAATATGCTGCTGGGAACTGCATTGGTATTACTGCTGAGCCTTTCCGGTACAATTTCCGGGGGCAGACACCGCAGGAAGGATCTCGTGCGTCTGAGAAGGAGCATTATCAATGTAAGTGATGAAGCCTGCGTCTCCTGCTCCCATCTCTTCCTTATCCTTCTGCTACCCTTCCTCATTCTACTTGCTGCTACTGCTGCAGCTTCATCCCTAATGGAACAAGTTGTTCATTCATGTAATCATCTCGTGTAATCGCTCTCCTACATTTATCTGTATTCCATTTGAATAATTGCCCAATGTATCATGCTTTATTAATAATTCTCTAATGATGTAACATTCCCTTAATGGATCTTTGCATGAAATGAGAAGACTTTTAATACAAAGTGCTACAGTTTTTTTTGGTTATTAATGTTTAAATATTAAATGGATAAAAAATATTTTAGTTTAAACATAAAATTAAATTTCACTCTTAAAGTTCTTAATTAGTTTGTATAAAATTATTAGATTAAAATTTTCTAAAAATTATCAAAATGACTAGTATTTTACAAATATTTTCAAAATTGCTAATATTCTCCAAAATATATATGAAAATTACAAATATTTTCTAAAACTGATTAAAATTTCTGTTATTTCAGGTTATATAAATGTCAAATAAAAACTGACATAACTTCAATAGAAAATAATTTGTACTAAAATGAAATGGCAACGTTTCTTTGTATAGTTAACTTTATTATAAATGTCAAATGTCAAAGTGACATAAGTTTAATGGAAAATAAATGGCGGTAAATTTAAATTCTAACGCTTCGTTTATGACAAATTTAAATCTTATAAAAAATATCAAAATTACTATTATTTTCCAAAAAAATATCAAAATTACTAACATTTTCCAACAAAATATCCGAATTACTAACATTCTCCAAAATGTATATGAAAATTTCAAATATTTTCTAAAAGTGATGAAAATTACCATTTCAGGTTATATAAATGTCAAATAAAAACTGACATTACCTCAACAGAAAATAATTTGTGATAAAATGAAATAGTAACGTTTCTTTTATGACATTTGGTACTTATTTTTTACAATTTTCAAATAATTCTCCAAGAAATTGAATTTACATGACTATAGCTTCTTTATCGTTAAATACAATCAGATTAAATTTGTATTGTAGACGTTGTTATAGATGTCAAATGTCAAAGTGACATAAGTTTAATAAAAAAGAAATGGCGGTAAATTTAAATTCTAACGCTTCGTTTATGACAAATTTAAATCTTATAAACAATATCAAAATGACTAATATTTTAACAAAAAAATATTGAAATTACTTATATATTTTACAAATAATATCAAAATTACTAACATTACTATTACCAATTACTAACTTTTTCCAAAATATATATGAAAATTTCAAATATTTTCTAAAAGTGATGAAAATTAATATTTCAGGTTATATAAATGTCAAATGTCAAAGTAACATAAGTTTAATGGAAAAGAAATGGCGGTAAATTTAAATATTAACGCTTCTTTTATGACAAATTTAAATCTTATAAAGAATATCAAAATGACTAATATTTTAACAAAAATTACTACTATTTTACAAAGAATATCAAAATTACTAACATTTTCCAAAAAAAAAATATATATAAAAATTTCAGTTATTTTCTAAAAAAATATCAAATTTTTTAATTAATTATCTAAATTATCTAAATTTTTTTAAATAAAACTATTAGTAATTGAAAAAATTGAATTGTTACTCTGAAATAAAAAATATAATTAAAAATAAACAAAGTATTGAAGTAATTCTATGTTGAACTTGTTTGTATGTTATATAATTATAATTTCAATCACTTATTGAGAAAAAGAAACTAATTGAATTTCTATTGATCCTGATTGAATGTCTTTCATGGTTAATTAATCGTGGATAACAGTGCTTTTCCAAAGTTCACGTCTGTCTAAAGGGAATGAAATGAAATATGAACAACAATCTGATTACTTTGAACGAGACCGTGATAGGAGATGGAGCGTGTGAAGGGTGCATTACGGGATGAAATAAAGTACAATAACTATAAATGGGATGGGACGGTTTCGCGCTGCGAACTAGATATTACATATCTGATACACACATAAAAATTGTTGGAGCAAAGTAGGAAGAATTCGCAGTGATTTATCTCCCCCGAGGCAATACCAATAACATTATTCGATATAAAAATATGAAAAGGGATTGAGGTTTTCTTTTTTTCATTGCTGTGCTTCTTGTTTGTAGCTCGAAGCATCGATTCCGATAGTTCACAAACGAAAATGGGCCTTTTGATTCTATTGTCTTTAGATTGCGATATTTCCTTCCCGTTCGCAGCCAACAGGTGATGCGATGCGATAGAATTGATGGGTAATCGAAGTGTGCTTCTATTTATATACAAACAAAAACAAAAATAACCAGAAAAAAATGATGAATGAAAGACGAATGGAGGGAAATTTAAAAATAGGTGACGTGAAAGCGTCGTTTTCGTTCGATACGTGCGAGCATTCAAATGTGGATGAATGGTGGCCGTCTATTCGTCAGGAAAATAACAAATGAAACGCGAATAAAAAAAAACAAGAGAAATTTATGAATGCCGCGTTTGTTTTGTTTCCTGGCATCGATTTCCAATTCAGAAGGCGAAACAAGGGAGGAAAAAATAACGATATCTGTGCATATATAAGTTTTAATTGGCTCCAAACTATAATAATACAAGCAAAATATATTTGGAATGAAAAATAATCCAATATCAGTATGAAATTGCTGGAATTTTGTTTGATATTGTAAATTATAAAACTGTATGTTTAACAAAAAAAAATAAAGTTTCAGATTTTTTTTTTATTGAATTTATTTCCCAAATTATTGGAATTATTCATAAACAATCAAATTTTGCAGTTTTTTTTTTTTAAAATCAATGATATTTAAACAAAAAATTATAAGAATTTTCCAAATGAATATGAAAATTATTAATATTTAATAGAAAACTTCAATTACTTATATGTATTTTCAATAATATTTTGTAATAAATTCAATACAAACAAATTATAAAAGTTTCAGAAAATTGTACGAAATTTCTTGAAAATAAATTGAAAAGATTGATCATTATAATATTTTCTAAAAGTGATCAAAATTACTAGTATTTCAGGTTATATAAATGTCAAATATTTGTAATAAAATGAAATGGTGACGTTTCTTTTATGACATTTGATACTTCTATTTTACAATTTTCATATAATTCTCCACCAAAATATACTGCATATGAGTATAACTTCTTTATTGTTCAGTAATATCAGGTTAATTTTTTATAGTTTACGTTATTATAAATGTCAAAGTGACATAAGTGTAATAGAAAATAAATGGCGGTAAATTTAAATAGTAACGCTTCTTTCATTATAAATTCAAATTTTATAAAGAATATCAAAATGACTAATATTTTCCAAAAAATATCAAAATTACTAACATTTTCCAAAAAAATATTCGAATTACTAACATTTTCCAAAATATATATGAAAATTTCAAATATTTTCTAAAAGTGATGAAAATTACTATTTCAGGTTATATCAAATAAAAACTGACATAACCTCAATAGAAAATAATTTGTGATAAAATTAAATGGTAACGTTTCTTTTATGACACTTGCTATTTCTATTATACAATTTTCGAATGATTCTCCACCAAATTAACTGCATATAAGTATAGCTTCTTTATTGCTCAATAGGTTAAATTTTTATAGTTTACGTTATTATAAATGTCAAAGTGACATAAGTGTAATAGATAAGAAATGGCTTCTTTATCGTTAAATACAATCAGGTTAAACGTTGTTATAAATGTCAAATGTCAAAGTGACATAAGTTTAATGGAAAAGAAATGGCGGTAAATTTAAATAGTAACGCTTCTTTCATGACAAATTTAAATCTTATAAAGAATATCAAAATGACCAATATTTTCTAAAAACATCAAAATTATTACAAATATTATCAAAATTACTAAAATTTTCCAAAAAAAAAAACCATCAAAATTCCTATTTTCCAAAAGAAAAAAACAAAGTATTTTCTAAAAATTATCATTATTACTAATATTAAAAAAAAGTGAAAATTTTCATTTACGCTTTATATTCTCTTTTCTTTTTTAATACTTCGAAGTGTTCAAGTTAATATATCCACTCAAGTTTCTCCAGCGAAACTTTCAATTTAAAGTTGTTCGTTCTTATCTCGAGTGTATTTCACCATGCAGCAACGGATTTAATTTAAATCTAAACATTTGCTGCATGTCTCTTGCAAACAAACAAACAAACAAACTCAAAACATAACAGCTGCAAGAAGAACGTGCGACGAAATCGATAGTCGGAATGAATCCAGTGTTTCATCATCATCGCGTTTTGCGAATATTATTTCGTGTTGTTTGGTGAGAAAGAAAACAAGAAAATAATCATAACTCTGCCTTTTCCAATTCTCTAAGTAAGCAAATAAAAACTATTTTTCTGAATTCGTTTCTTCGATTAAAGTTCAAACTCAATACACACGCCAACTTTGAGTACTTAACGCAAATAAAAATACATTTACGAATTAATTTCGCCATACATTTTTCTTTTATTTGCTTGAAAACGTTTTTTTTATATCAATATGACAAAATTTGAATAAAAGAAATAACAGAATTCTTTAATCATTTTGTAGATTTTACAATTACCACAGCACATTTGATAACAATTTCAAAACGATTTTTTTCACAAAAACTGAAACAAATTGATCTTTATTTTTCATTGAAAACAAATAATTGTGATCATTTGTGCAATTTTTATTTTTTTATTTGTTATAAAACTACGTGTAGAAATTGTTGAATTTTATTGCAATTATAACTAGTGCTTTTAATTGCGCATTGCAATTACTTGTTATACACTTTTAACGTTTGTTTTCCCTGGTATTTCGATGTGTTAACGACGTTCATTGCAGGAAGTGGGTTCGTTAGTTTGCTGGGTCATTTCCGTTTCCTGTTCGAAATCGGTTGATTAAAGCGTTTGTACTCTCTTTTTTTTTCGGACCTTCGTCCATATTTACATTCCATTTGCACTAATTAAATCTGCCGGCTGTTTGCACAATTTTC